TTTGAGCCTAAGGCTAACCCAAAAGTAAATAACAGAATATTTTGTTTTAAATAAATTTATTAAAAAACAATCGATTTAACAAATAATACACCCAATACGTCTATGAAACCAGTTCAGACGCATCATCCAGACGTAGAAATGGAATCCCAAACACACCTCGCGCACCGAAACAACATGTATCACGAAGATATGTGCAAAGACTAAATCCACTTTAAAATTATTAGGTTGTCTATGTTTTCACAAGAGCTCCATACAGTATTAGTAACAATAAAACGCCACAGTTCTAAACATCATTGTAAACATACTAGGTGATAAAGCTTCGTCACGTAAATATATTTACGAAAAATATTTTTTGCAAACTGATTAAATTATCATTTAAACATCACCCAATACATTCAAAACGTGGTAGAGCCAAGCTGCAGCTATATAATGATGGTAGCATGAATGGGTCGGCTCTACTGGGGTAGGACCACGATCTCACAGAATACCAGCGTAAAATAGCAGCTTAATGCTGCTGTGTTTTGTATGTTGAGTGCGGAGAACCGGAGACCGTTTTTACTGGAAACGAGCAATTCTATCTTAGTCCTGAGGGGTAACAACGCATCTGCATTTTGATTTTTAATTTAGTAAAAATGTGGATATCTATGGGGCACAGCATTCACTTACTAGTCTGACTATGTGTTTAATAAAATGTTAAACTATTTTGTTCAATATAAAATATATCATTTGGTGGCGAAAAGAGAAAACCCATTTTGTCCCGAGGTCATCCTTTCATCATCATCCATAAGCGTCGACTAAAGAAAAAGTAGAAGATATCGTGAATTTCTAGAGAAATTGTGGGATAACCATCTCGTTGCCAAAGCAGATATATCCAGGCCAGCGACGTGAAGCAGCTTCAAACAAATCCGTCTAACAAACATGGCGAATGTAGCAAATCCTCTCAGGTGAACGAGGGGAAAAAAAACAAGTGTTTTGCAACGGTGTTCCATCAAAATTGCGATAGATTTTCCTACGAAGTTTTAATACATTAATAATAGCAGAAAAACATTTATAGACTGATGATGACGACTTTAAGCGTCACTGTTTAATTATCATAGCAGCCTACTTTGACCACTATTGAACATGAACATAACTCTCCCCCAAAGGTTTTATGGCAATAAAGCACGTAGGTATATAATTTATAGATATTATAACATGAATTATACTACGACTATATAATAACGATTTTGTTTATTAATATGTGTCAAACCAGGTCAGATGCTGGCCTTCAAATACTAATTTACATAAATAAGACCTATTTAGGTATTCAGAACATATTCCTCTTACGACTGCACGACACTTAAGCTTACTTAAATTACTAAATACATTGATCATTCATTATTTCCTTAATGGCAGCCTATCAAACGTCCACTGCAGTACATAGGCAGGATATTTGCTTAATTTGCCACGTTTGGCTGGCGGGTTGACAACTGCATTTTTATTGAGATGTTATCAGGAAGATGGTGCTGCCCATCTCCTGTGTTTTCCCCGTCATCTCTTACGACACTCTCGATATGATATGATACGGGGTAGTGGATTCATTTACGCCGTCACTACACGGAAAATAAAAAGTTCAAGTAGGTAATAGGTACTCCTCCAAATATTACCTTAGATCAGGGGTGGCGAACCTTTATGCATCAACGTACCATTTTCTAAAGAAATGTTTAATAAGTTATAGACGTGCCGTAAATAATTTTGATTTTGTGATTATTGGGAAAATAATAATACTAAATACTATCGACTCAAAACTCTTTATTTGAGACATTTATTATTATATATAATGCGTAATTCAAATTAAAGTAACATTAGTGTGACTTCTGTTTTTGCAGATTAGATAACAATTAACTTATATTGGGGTTGTAAAATCATAAATATAACACAGATGAACTTTTAAATACAGTTGGGTCAACGAAATTAACTATTATGCCATGCGTAAATGAACTAACTATGCATTCCTCGGAGGAGGCGTGGACTTGTGATGTCTGTGATGGGCTATAATGATGATGATTAAACGAACTATGCGTCAATAGCAATTGTAGTCCACAATGTATCTAGGATCACTTGCGTTCGTTCGTAACATAATATTTGATAGTGAACTTTATGATCGGTGGCGTGCCCAAAATATTGTGTCGCGTGCCATCGATGGCACTGGTTCGCCATTCCTGCCTTAGATTATATAGGTTAAACCAAATTATATTGGATCGATTATACATACACAACACACGCACACGTCAGTTAGCAACAAAACAGCTCAGGTCCCTTACATCCGGGTGCCTGTCGATGTCCGATAAAACAGCTATGCGTCCAAAAAGGCGTCACGATTATACACGATTATATAATTTAAGCGGACAGACGTCGCGGCCTGGTCCCGCGAGATGTTCGGCGCCTCTGCGGATGCTGAGCCCTTACCATTAGATGAACACTATATAATACCTACAAAATAATAAATTGATTAAAAATTTATGTGTTTTATTTTTAATTTCTTAAAACTAACGGGTTTCTCGTAATGTTATCTTTCCACTGCGTAGCACATGCTATAAATATCAGCATTTAAAATTTTTATAACAATTTTATTGGTGACAAAGTGACAACCCGTAGTAGAGCAGCACGTCGTACACTTTCTCGCCCTGAATCCTTCTCAGAAATGACCGTAACTTAACTTTTTTAATTTTTCTAAATTAAATGTAATCTGAAATCTCAAAAAGTTATCTAAGTTGCTGCATTAGTTTATACACATACACAACACATATACCTAGTTTTTTTTAGTCTGTTTAATATTTTTTTTAATACTTCACTGATTACTAGATTTTTGAACCTATCGATAACAATCCAATTAAATCAAATAAACAATGTTAAGAGAAAACAGAAATACACAATTTTATTAACAAAAAATTATTTAAAATTTAAACTACGTAGACATAGCTAGCTACATAATATCAAGTAATTGGTCTCAAAGGATTTCAAAATAGTTTTCCTTCAAAAATAAATCCATAGTCCAAAAATCCACAACACGTTCACAAAAAGTAAACAAGACAATCACAAATCGAGAACAAACCACAAACAAATCGAGTTCCGATAGTATCGAGGTCGGCAGAGTTATGAAGTGGTCAAACGGTCAAATCCGAGCGCCTCGGTGTCGCGGAATGCGGTACGGACGTGTCTCGCCAACACCGAACGAGCATAATTCCGAGAAAAGGATAAAAATTAAATAACTTGTTTGCACCGGTTCCACGCCAAGCCCGGTAGAAGTAGAATACATGGTTTGGGGGAAACCAAAATTCCAATTAGAACTTTCATCAAAATTGCTAATCCTTATAGTCCTATAGCAATTTTAAGAAAGCTTCGGTGGTCAAATGAGAACAATTTGAAGCTATAAATGCAATATCAAAGAACGGAACAAATTTTATTTTAAATCATTTGAAGAACGTTGTACATTACAAGGAAGAGCTTGGTCCTAACCTCTTTTATATTGTCTAAGCAGACAATCCCAAACACCGTTTGTCTTGGCCCCTTCTTAGCATTAATGTACACGATAAGACTGATTTTCTTCAGGTTATTGATAATCAGAATTCTTCTTCGAAATATTAAGTATGTGTATGTATAAGTAATATTTATTTTCCTAAACAAAGTGAATAATTGGAAAATTACACCTTTTAAAGCACAAGGTGTTCGTGCAATTATTGTCAGTTACATAGTGTATTGCTAAATACCTTGCAGAAAAACCACAATTTGTCTAGCAAATCATAACCATCGTAGGAAAACTTCCATCAAAACATGTCGCTAAAAGGTAACTATAATATATTAAAAAGTAATAAAACGTGATATACCGATTGTCACGTAAATGACACATCCGCATCGCAGTTTTATCCAAGTACCCGCTAAGTATGATGTGTATTTAATTGACAAAAAAAATATTTTTTAAATATTCCAATAGATTAGAACATCGTTTCATCGCGTCATCACTATGTTCAATGGGTTGTGATATATTTAATTCTGGCTTTTATAAAAATTAAAGATCGTTGCAATACAACTAGTAAGCAGCATTTAGTAATTTTGATTTAAGCTTCTAAAATATTGAACTCATTATTCCATCCGAAAATAATACTTACAATAAAATTCCATAACAAACACGAATAAATCGTATAACAACTACTACATCTTTCCTAATACAGTAATTAAATGCATTAGAATAGACACGGATATAACGCAAAGAAGTTAATGATATAATTATGAAATAAATCGCAATAAAAATTACTCGCAATATAAACTAAACACATCAGGAAAATCCCTGACATTCTTCAAAGATGATTAAACTGACGGTGACACAAGATCAAAGGTTAAGCTTAACCGTGACCTACAAGTTTCGCCGTAAAACTGCTATATAAAATAACATTTCTACCAATAATTTATTTTAAACATCCGATTGAATTTATAATTTTGAAACTTCTCCGACCGTCCTTTTTGATATTCAAATTTGTTTTAATTAATCCTAAATTTAAATACCAAGTAAAAGCCTACATTTGCTGGGCTGGGCGTAAGCCTCTATCCACTCTTTTCTGATATAGTTAAAGGGCAAGGAACTGCGCCCTGCATCAACGAATGTTGACAGACGTCTCACAACGAATGTTGACGGAAGTCTCGAAATATTTCCTTTTAATTTTTCCAACGCCGACATTTGAGTTTCCTTTCGATGTTTTTGTTCACCGCCGTTAGCGGTACCCGTGAGAAATAAGCTCGGTTTGTCCGCATACTATGAAATTTTCATACGAGCGCTTACTACTTAAGTAACATCGTTAAATTATTTAGTATAAAGTTAACGCACTAACACCGTACATCATACAAAACGATACGAAAGTGCAGATATTGTCGAGCTTGGTGCTTTCTATTATGTCTGTCCACATTATTAACATATTTTTATAAAAGTGTAATAACAAATGAACTTCCAATCCACCTGACTGATGATGGTAAGTAGGTAGCTACTGAAGTCCACCTGCAGCCAACTTCATTCTACTGAGACTAAAACAAAATTGGAATGAAATAAAATGAATGATTTTTATCCATTATAGATTATTGTATAATACTTATTGAAAGTCATTTTTTTTTAATTTACCACTTTGCTTTGAATGCCTCATGGCCTGTATGTGTGTAATACTGGCTCTCTATACGTCCTCTTATGGACATCAAAACGCAAAGATATAAGAATTTGAAATTTTGAAAATCGGAAAAACATAAAAACATTTATAGAACTACGTCTCTATACAACAAAAGCCAGTTTGAAGTATGTGACGAGCGAATTCTTGTGATACACCAACAACAAAAAATAGATCCGGGATCATTCGTGAGATGAGCCATGATTATGAGTAGTGTTATCACGTAAAGGAAAATACGTAAGGACTTTAACAGATGACCGACAATCAATCTAAATGACGTCAACCATTGTATTTTGATTCCTTTTCTAGATAGAAAAATACAAAAATTAAAAGATGCATAACATACCTATCGTTTCATAAAAACTTATGTTTGTTTTTTCATCATCATTACAGCACTTCATAAGTCCACTGCTGAAAAATAAATAACCTCCCTAAAGGCACAAACACGGTCTTGAGCCAGCATCTATCGATGTTGGTTCTTAATTTAAAACTGTTTATACATGTAAAATAGAAATTCAAAAAATTCTTATCATTAAAAGCAAGTCGCGCACGTAGCTACTACATTCTTATAATGGTATTTTAGTTTACACTGCGTTCTGTATAGCTGAAGTATAGGAGCTATTTCATATACCTACGTGAACTTTAATGTTGTTAATGTTGCCCTTCTGTCACCAGTCACCTACGCGCGTATCAATGTAATAAAAAAGTTTTATTACACTGCGTCCCTACATCTAAGTTTCCGTGAACGATTACATAACATACAATTTAGCAAAATCTGAACTTGAGAGAGTGAAGTACATTTAATTCGCGGTGTGGCCTACGCTTTATGTAAATAAATCGCGCAGAGTTCCCAATCGAGTCTGCCGCGACCTTCCGAGGACGCGTCCGATGTCGATGACACGATGTCTCTCACGGCGCAGAGAATAAATACACTGAGCGCACTCAACACTGCCTTTTTTGGACATATCACAGAAATAAGTATTTATTTTAAGAAAATATAAAGCCGATCGTTAGCTATAAATTAGGCAAGAATTTATTAATTAAGTTTAAAATAACATGTGAAATTAATTGGGAAATATCTTTTGTTTCTAATTGACTATTATTAGTATTTTTGAAGGCTATTAATTTTTATTTCACTTTAATCGCAGCTAAAAGTTCGAAGTAAGCAATAATCAATGGGGGGGAAGGGGGGGGAGAGGGGGTATAAAGCGGCTTTTCTTTGCGCCATCCCCCTTTTTTTTTTTTTTTTTTTTTTTTTTTTTTTTTTTTTTTTTTTTTTATTTTTTTCGGTTTTTTTGTTGGAAATTTTGCGGGTTTCTCTTTTTACCGCGTTTTTGTTTCTCCGGGTTGCTATGGGTTTTTCCAACGATTGAATTAAAAATTATATAAATCAGTTAAAGTAAAAATAAAGATTTACACTAAAATAACACACATTTTATTTAAATAACCGCAGTACTTTATTTTCTAGTAGTTATTAGGAAAACGCTGCTGCCTTGATTGACAACCACGTATTGATATGAGGTAGTAAACACACGCACGCCACTCCAGGGTCCATACACTTAAATCCTATTTTAATGTAAAAAAAATCTTTATGTTTTATTAATATATTTAGAGTCTATTAACTGACAAACTGAAAACAAATTTGTTTTGTATATGATAGGGTTCATTTTCTGAATCAGAGTCCGACTGGATCGGAACCACCCTCTTAACAATTTTTGAAGTGTACCGCATAAATTTTAGATTGTGAAGAATTTCTCATTCTTCCTCAGAATTTACAACGTACTATACTACTGTATATTATCAAACCCATCTTAAAATGAATAAAAAATGATTTCTGCTCTAAAGTCGACAGTCTCAAAAATCCGTCAATGTACGTAGTAATATTTCTATTTACTTGTAATATGCTACATATTTTTAAAATTTAAATATAAGCATATATAATAACAGAAGGAATTAGATTGTTGATCAATGTTGTAAAATCAATTCATTTAAAAATATGAGTTAAATATAAAAAAATTAAAACACCAAATTAAAACCTAACGGAAGATAAACAACCAACAAGTTAATTAAGTGAAACTCTTTTTCTTAAATATCAATGTTAAAATAACTACCCTAATAAGCTAATAACACATAAGTGGGTAATTAGTAATTATACAACAAATTTTAGGTTTATTCAATATAAACACTACAATAACCATTAACAACTCAAGTCCTTATATTGCGCACGCAACACTAAATGATACGATGAGCACAGCGCACTCCAGTAATTAATAACTACAACATCCGTCAGTCGAGGGAATCGTGGCCCTCCCATCGATTTCGTATCGATGTCATTGCAGGTCTAACGCACGACACGCGTACATTATAACGTGGAGACGTTTCTAACGCTGTGTGCGTCGCGTACACCCGCGTCCGTTGTAGTGTGCGTGGGCGCTGCGCACGCGCTTACGACGGAGTATTTACACCGGCGCCCCCTACCACCTCCGGCACTCATGCGCCGCGCAATCTACAGAACACACGTGAACCCCACCACGACCTGACGCGGCGACCCTACAGGACCCACCGTCAAAGACATTCAGCTACCATACGACAAGCGCGACAGTAGCCCGATATGTGCCAGTGATCCAAGTGACATTATCAGTGAAGTGACTGACATGTGCAATTAAGAAGAAGTGTACGAGTGTTGTTTATCAGACGCAGCCTCAGCCGTTATCAGCCAATGTAAGATTCTTCTAACATATGAAACCAATTGGCAGTATATAAAATTAAATTCTGTATGTGTAGGATCTATCCTACATAATATGCAGAATTCATAGCGTCTACGCTAGGCCCCCGACCCAGATCTCACGAGTTAAGCAGCACACAATATAGGGACAGCAGAAACAATGCGCGTTTCGCGACACGAATAAAGTCAAAAATTCACATAGCTCAGCCTTCAGTGCAATACTCAATGACGCGACGTAGAGAAACACCTGTGAGAAAACACAAACAAGTGTCTGTTAGGCGAATTGTTGTCGTATAGATAGCCACACATGCACAGTAATAATGCAAGTGAAGAGTAAATCGCGACCCGACGACATTTATCGCAGGCTAAAGAGTCAGGGATAATGGAACGTTCACAATGGTAATGAGCACTGCAAATATTATTCGCGTTATATATACCGGCAAATTGCTAATCCATCCCAACCTACGCGACGCTAAACCGCGAGGCGTATACAATTTCGAAATTTATATTTTGACTTTATTACTCTATACAAAATTTCGATTCCGTAATAACATTTCAAAATATTGTTGTTGGCAATTAATACTACTAACATATTCATTAACAAATGCAAGTTTTACGAACTTAAGTGCCTTAGAAAACGTAATTCGTTAAAACATTACGAATACCTAACTCGGGATATTACTCACTGTTACTTCTGCGAATACCTGCATTTATTTAGTCGAACAGCGGTATTTAATATTGACCTTTAACGACGAATGCCGCAGGATGTTCTCATAACGGGAGACCGGTGTCTTACGTGTAGACAATGCTAATTAACCAGGACCGGTACTTGTAGTTACGCATCCGTGAGGCTTCATTGACTAAATGACTAAATTCTATTTTTTTTTACGATCGACCGCCTAATCGAACTTCTTTCCAAAACAACGTAATTCGTGAAAAACATGCATTGTAAACAGAGATCGACGACCATTGGCAATAATATGTGATATACGCTAATGAATAGTCTCGCTAATCTAGTTGACCAATTTATCAGTCAGTAACGAAAGTCGAACACGGTCCTAACATAGATGACATAATGCTAGCAAACAACTCGTATTATACTATACTAATACAAAAACGATCGTGAGCAGCTAACACAAAAACATATCAAGGAAGTAGCCGTTCGATAAACGAATAATTGTTATGTGAAGGAATCTGACATCGTGTGAAAATAAACATTTCAAACATGGACGCCGTGAGCGCGCGAGATAATAAAGCACAAAACAGGAAATCTACGTGAACGTTAGACAGAAATCTTGATCAACCGGGAAACGCTGGCAAGCCAAGAAATATTTGTCGAATAATAACAAAAATCACACCTTAGGGTTTTTATATGCATTTCTTATCCGAAACAATTTTTTAGAATTCTTACGTTGCAACGATAAAAATTATTTCGCATAAAGCATTAAAATTAAAGTGAAAAACTTGCGCAAGTTATATTAACATTAACATCTTGGTGGTACCCAAACTTTTAGTCTCTTCTTCGATCATATCTAAAGTGATTTGTAAAATAAAGAAACGAATTAAACAGACTTTGTCTTTTAAAGCCCCGAATGACACAAGTTTATGAACCTCACTGACACAAAATAAAGTCTTTATTTTGAGGTTCACAAACCACGGCCTCGCTCCATTTTAAACGCGTTTTCGAAAAACTTGCGCTTTTAACTGTTGCTTAACAAGACGTGAGCGTTAAACTGTTTGTACACCTTTATGTACTTAGTGACAAATACGTAATTAAATTGATACGAATTGTTTCTTCTAATCCAATAGTGATACATATGACCTATTATTTTGTGTTTTATTCGTTTTTGATATGATTTACACGTATACGTAGTACGTACACATTTCTACAATATGAAAAACAGCCTTAATCGAAAACGTCATTATCATTTCTTATTTGTACGTGACTGAGCATGACAGCAACATGTATAATATTACCACAAGGATCGTATAAAGAATTTGCTAGTTTTTTACGTGAGAACAAATTGATAAAATAATATCTCTGCTATTACGTCACCTGTCCGCATGTCCGTAAATAAAAAAACGCATCCGGCTAGGAGCAGCGAGGCGTCATTATTAAAACATGTAAAAAGAAGCACCACACGAAACACGTTAGACTCGTCCAATTTCGAAGAGAGCAAGGTCTAAGAAGAAGGTTAGTTTATAAAAACAATGTAGTATATGCATAATAATGGTATTAAGCAACAGCAATTGTCGCGCGCGGGCTAAAATGAACAATGGACTTGCTCGACTCAATTGCGAGGAGAATCTGCACAGGTAATTTGTCGCGAAAACATATTGCATACGAGGGCGAGAAAGACGCATTGGAAAGCGCGATCGCCGATCGCTGTCCGTTATTGCTAAAAAACTTACAAAATTCTGACATAAAAAATTCAGCTTTCCTTTAAACCGAGCGAAGGACTCCGGCCGCTAAGGTTGCCTATCCGCCACGCTCCGAAAAACACCAAAAGGTAGCCGGAGTGGCGGAAAACTTTTGAAATGCCTTACACAAGCGACTCATATTAAACAATATGGAAATCACGAATAGCGACGATTATCAGATCGGTTAATTGGCATTTACATCATAGATGCGCTGTGAGCGATCTCCGCCCATACATTCTAAAACGCTAGTTCTCTATGCACGCTCCAAATGCACTTACCGATTGGAATATCGCTAAATAAAATTAATTCCTTACCTGTAAACAAAAAACATATCATTTAATTATATAATACTATTTAACTGTACATACATCATACAACATATTACAACGTGTAATTAAAATTAAAAGCCGGTAAATTGGAAAGTTCAATAGGGTAACAAACAACGTGCCCACGATTTCTTTTCGCTTTTGTTCAATTCATGTGAAAAGTATGAAACGTTTCGAAACTGCGTAATTGCTATTATGGTTATACATGAGAACGTATAACCGACCATTATATGGAAGATTACATACAATACGAGATGCGACAGTTTTGCGAATAACGTAACAAACAATCAAGAAAGTCACAACAATGAGAAGAAAGTGCGCGCTTACATAAAAATAACAATATCGTGTTAACTAACACAAAACAAAGCAGGTTCAATTTGTAATCTCAATTATTGATATACGAGCAAAAAATCCACTTTTAGTGCTCTGTCTGATTAGATTCCCGTTTAACTTTCAACAAAAATCAAATATCACGGAGTTCTTTATCAAAGGTATTGTTTCAAAAACTGTTATAAAATACTATAGTAGTCTTACGCAGTGCACATATTATAGAAATTTGATTGATTTTTACTTGTGCAATAAAGAAACCTTGGTTTTAACGAAGGCGGTGGCATTATAAATCATAAACCCGCCAACAATAGATGCATAGGACACAGATACTTGGAAATATTCGAAATGGACCCGGGGCGGGCGCGTGCTAACGCCGTATCGCCGCCAGTCACGACCAGCCAGATCACTTTTTTATAACTCGACCTTACTTAGCATACCAGTGCAGCCACTTAAACCACAAAATGCCGGCTATAAACTGTAACAGACAATGTGATTGACAATAAAGATCTAATTATGTTGTGAAATGTTATGAGCGAAAATTGTTTAACGTAGGCACAATAAAGGTATAAAAGACCTTCATCAACCGTCTAATTGAAAATATTTGAGTGGATTATCTCAAAATTTTGGGACTAATTTTAATCCACGCCTGCTTAAAGTACATACTGACATCTGATCATAATCTAAACCGATTTTAAATTAATAAGATGCAAATGATGAAAAGAATAACATTTCCATGATAAATGTATATAGAGCGAAATAAATGCATCACAATACTAATGCTTTAGGATTAAAAGTTGCGGATTGGGTGAGGCAGCTATCAGGTTGTATGTGATGGTTTTGCCTTGACACCCAGCGCCTTCGCGACAATTAATAAGCCCTGACACTATTAGAAGTTATTTCAAACCATTCAGTAAATCGAATAGTGATTGACGAATACGATAAATAATTTAACGTATTTACGCAACATCTATAGATTAATTATCGAGATTAAAAACCAATCAAAAACGCTGCATGAAATATTATAACTGCAAATAGATTAAAACAATATATATACTAAGAAATTTATAGTAAGAAGAATTCATCCCGATGTTAGAAAATTCTCCGTAACTTTTTATTGGGCAAAGGTTCGAAATTATACACATAAATACTTCTTTGCACATATTTCTCGTACCATATTTACTAAACAAAGTTATTGTCTTATTTAGTCGACCATATATAATTAACCATGATTATACAGATTCGTCTCGACTTCGTTAGGCGATAATATACTTTAGGTATTAACACCCGAGGTCTAAGGGCAATCACTAATAATATAACTTGACACAAAGGGTCCAATGCCACAGTTGCGGCGATTCGTTACGATTTCGAAAGTACGTAAGGCAATTGCCACGAATATACCAGCTTAATACAGATATTTTATGAAGCGATTAACTCCATAAGTGAACTGAATTGGGAAAAATTTACTTAATAACAGGAATTCAGTAGTTTCTCTTCGCAATATCGTATATTGTAATTGTTTGACTTCTAATAACTCTAATAAATAATTGATTAATATGATGTACCTACAAGGTTTCATAATTAATTGGAAATCTTATATGAATCTAAATTTTTCAACAATTTAATTCATCATTTTCGAAAATGTATTATTTCATAAATTTCTTTGACATTGAAGGAAGGACTTGAGACAAACAAGAAACTGTAGATGACTTCTACCGTAATGCTAAAATCTATTTCTAAACGATTTTAGCATTGAGCTTTTACACACTACATAAAAGAACTAAAACGGTGTTTACAATTGCAAATCGTTATAAACTTTGTGAAATCGGCATGTCCTGTACGTTCAATCCGTTAGTAAATAAAGGCCATTGGAAAGTTGGCGACTCGTCAACCCCGCGTATTGAATACAAAATGACAACAATACATCGAAAAGTTTCCCAACATCGTCGCGAACGCGACTCCAGAAGAAAGTTAGCATGCATTCGGCATATGTTTAAAATTATCTCTTAGCTATAAAGAAGTTTCGAATGCTAGTTGCGTTGCTTGTAGCATACGACTGTAATAATCTTACCACGGACTAGTTTTATTCCGATCGTAAAAAGTTTGCATTTTGTTTGCAAGGCCACCATCTGACAGTTAAGCTAACCAAGGAATGGCGTTTAGTTTTCTATTTATTAATAATTTATTAATAACGTTCGAAGTAAGACTAAAATTATTAATCAGAAAGTATTGTACTAAATTGTTATATTTCATGCGATAGTAAATTTACCTCACGAATTCTATTGACTAAGAGCTTTTTAACTATAGCAAAGATATTTTTGGCAAAAACTTGACTCGTACCCTGGTGGAGTACATTCCCATTACTTTTAACGAAGGTGAACAGGTATAGAAAACGAAAGGATGCGCACAGCGATGCCCCGAGCAAATGTCAAATTTATGTAAGCATTATTAAGCACACAAACGTTAAATATACTTATAATTCAATAAACTTAAACTTAACCATATATAAATCATTTTAGGCATTCGTAATAATATATAAGTCAATGAACTATTGCAAAAATCTTGGCAACCTTATTCGGACAAATTATTATAATCTGTATCGAGGTTAGTCAAAACGACTCAGTTGTCATACTGAGCTTGCACTTTTTTAATCTTACCGTTACCTACGCCACAGAGTCGATTTTTCACTTTGTACTCTTACATCTCTACCATTACATCCTTATTCTTAACAATACGCTTATTCTACATAAATGAGAAATTCTTGTGAATATGTTGTATAAATGTGTATTTGTGCCCCAGAAACGGTAATAAAGGTTATAATGCCTTACTTTCAAAGTTCCAACGCACGGCAGACATTCTTCCCTTTCGGGTTTCACTCAGAATCCAGACAATTTTTTTTACAATGTAAATACAATATTTATTAATAACTATTTAGTTTTTACGCGGTACGGCCATGCTGAAGCTATATTACTGGTATAGTTGTAGCACTAATGGGTCGACTCGACCAGGAAAGGACCACGCTCTCACATAATATCAGTGTAAAATAACAGCTTAACGCTACTGTGTTTTGTATGGTAAGTGTAGAGAACCAGATTCTTTTTACTGGAACCGAGGCATTCCATCTAAGTCCTCAGGGGTGACAACGCATCTGCATTTTGATTCGTAATCGAGGATAGATGTAGAAGTCTATGGGCCACAGCAACCACTTACCATCAGGTGGACTGTGTGCTCGCTTGTCACCTATATCCTAAAAAAATAAAAACTTGACCTGCCTGTACCACCTATTAGAAACTTAGCGTAGATATAAACCTTCGCCTCGACAAAACAAATATACTGTGTGAATATGAACTCAATATATCAAGTCATTCAGAAGTTACACGATCACTAACAGACGCACCATGGATAATATTAGTGTATTGATGTATAATCTTGGGTATTTACTATTTGACGGTTTGATAGCGCAGTAGCTAAACGTTAGTTTGCATAGATTTAGCTCTACAAAACAACCATTTGTTTAGCCCATAAATTTCTCAAAATATTAAATTGTGATTTAAAAAACCGGTATAATATTAACCACCCATAGTACCCATATGACTCCATGCTTATATTTGAAAGAATTGAAAGACTATCTTACGGATAAGAACATTTGAAGGCATATGGGCGCAATCGATTAACTTGTTCGTACTTTGTATAGCAATTTTGTTTAATTTTAAAATTAGAACAATTACTATGTGACTCGAATGGATATCGAAGGCGAAATCGAGCAAATAAAATTCCTTTCGCAGAGTCAGACACACCTAACTTTCAATTGCCTTGGGCCAAACAGTTATTCTGACAATTTTTTTTTATACGACACAGTCAACCTTAAAATGTTTTTGAACTAGTTTGTCTCATTTCGTAAATTCACGACCAAATTCACACAAATCATTTAAAACGAGGTATTACACAATTCACACCCACGTTATATGCGACACTCTTAGAATATTTGTTGTACAGTTATTTCAAGCCGCATGTTTATATCGAATATCTCAATCAGCTGGATTACGTGCCCGTGCCGATTAAAATTACAAAAATTACCCGAAACGATCATTGTTTAAAAACGATCGCCAATTTCTAATTCGATGATCAGCTACGCGCCAAACGCAACAGCAAAATAACAATACCCATACGGATAAAGCAAGATGCCGTGATACAAATTAACAAAACGTACGCGAACGTATTTAAAACGATACTTTGTCGCAGGCTCGGCTCGACCTTCCAGTCTCGTGTTCATTGCTCGCTAATTTCCAAATTTAACGCTTTATTTTCAATGCCAGCCCGGTCGGAGGTGGTCAGCTATGAGACTTGATAAAAGGCGAGCATTGGAGTACGACTCGCCAGTTGCTAAATTACTGGCCAACGTTTTTGTCTTAAGCCGGTCCTTTCACTTTGCTCATGTTAGCGACAGAGTGGGTTCGATTTACAAAAGCGCGCGTACTTAGATAAGTGAATTATTAATTCGCGCTTAACCGGCAGTAGCCTAATTTAAAATGTTTTTCATCAGTGAATTTATTTCGTTGCAACTAACATATGTTTTTTAAACTTTCAGATGGTGAGAGGGGCGGCGACAGTGCTTATGCTAGCGCTGGCATGGGCATGCAGCACACAAGCCAGCGTGCTAGTCCCAACCTACGTATTACCGCCCGATTCGTTCGTGCGCGATCAACGCAGCCTGGGAACACCAGTCGACTCAGACCCAGCAGAGTCCCAAAGAACAGTCAAACGACTAGTCGGGGGACATATGAAATTAAAGCACGATAAGATATACAGTGCTTCAAAAAACTACATCGGCTACAATGGGAAGACTGAAACTGGAAAATTTGCTGGTGTATTCGCACCCGATCAGTCGGGCAGTACTGTAGGATGGAACCAGGGTATCTGGGATGATGGCATGCTCATGTCCAGCGCCGGCGAAGGAAAGGAGACAGAGAAAGTCAAAGAAAATGATGAAGAAAAGAAGACTTTATCAGACCAGGTGGCCGAGGGAAAATACGGCTTGATACAAAACGAGATATTTGCTAAAGCGCCGAAACGGCTAGGAATCGTTAGCTATGAGCCCAACACTGAAACTAGATCCAAGGACAATCTCCAAAGTCTCGGAGGGCTCAAGAAAGATGAGATATGGCTCGCAGAAGATCACCTTTTAGTCCTCAAAGGCGGGTCATTCCCAGAGAGCAAGAAGGAAACTGAACGCATACCTTGGCCACCGATTGATAACTACGTAGCCCCGAGAAGGCAAGTAAAGCTACCACAGAAACCTAAAGTACCTCCGCCCTTTCCGGTACGTCTCTACGACAACGGACCGCTCGTCTTCCTCACTCCAAACGGTAGCGTCCCCGCGTCCCTTTTCCCTCCCTTCTCTACGGGAGAGGGCGATGGCTCTCTACCACCATCGCCATTCCTTTTCCCAGCGGGAGCGCCCTACCCCACAAGTGATGATCAGGGAAACACTACTGCCGGGGAAGCGCCGCTGCCAAATCCTCTGTACCCATTCCTACCCGGGAATACGAGCGAAGGGCCATTTCCCTTGCCTCCAACCATAAACGGCTCTTTTCCAGAAGGCTTTCCACCGGGCGCAGCGTTTCTACCACCACCGAGCAACCAAACGGATCTGTACGACGAAGACGACCCATCGATATACTATCCGCCGCCTTACAATTTTTCTTTCCAATCTGAGTACAACAACAGTGTACCAGCGGGCCCACTTGTACCAGGAATAATCTTGCCGCCACCACCGGATTTCTTCGCTCCAGAAGAAACTACCACCACAGAACCAGTACAAACTACAATAACAGATAAAACGGTGACTTATTCAAGACCAAAATCTACTAGAAAACCATCGGCAACGCCGTCTGTTGTGTATCGACGCAAATACAAAACAAGACCCACGACAACGGAGTCGACGAAGACGACTGAGATTCCGACCACGATAGCCACTCCACCACCTACTGAAATTGTGACCAAGTCCAAAGAGAGAAAGCCACAGCGTATTACACAGCAACCGCCTAGAAATCCGATTAGAGTACACAATTTACCGGATGAAGTAACATATAAACACACGACGATAAAGCCCGTCTACAAGTCAAGAACAAAGCTCACTTCAAAGCCCATCTCCGTGATTTATGATTACACAGAACCAATTTACAATTCAAAGATGCCAATAACATCGGAAAGTCCATACGTAATTTATAGAGTACCAGAGAAAAATCCAAATGCAATCCATGATGAAATCATTACGTCTACTCAAGTGCCCCTTAGAGCGTACTACTCTAACACACAGAATGATGGCATACCAGCAACAAAACTACAACCCGTGTACAGACCGAAGCTCAGCCAAAATGCTGTAGCTTCTTTCTACTTTTATGACGAACAAACAAAGACATCGCCAGCTCCTGAAACCTATTTTGACGGTAGACACAATTACAAGACTGTACCAACTAACTTATCTCCACAACCGCTGCAATCGAACTCGAACTCTCAGAAGGGCTACAATCCTGCAGTAGAAGTTACGTATGGAGCTATTGACGATTCTGATGGGCTATTTTTATGGCCACAAAAGCAAGGTCCCAGAACGCTGACACAAGAGTACTTCAGCATACAGAGGCCTCGTCCACAACCAGTTTACGTACAGCAACCCAAACAGAATCCACATGCTTTCTACCAACAAATAGCGGACATTCAACAAACGATAGACTTGTATACTACAAAGAGGCCAAAGGTTCAATCTTTACGAAATACTAACAAACAAAAATCTGTCACATCACGACCTGTGTATCAATTCAGCTACCAGTCTAATCCCAGACCTGAACAACTGACCTTCAGAGCACCTAAACTCGATCCGGAACCATTTAGACCGATGGTTAGCTACAGCAAGCCCTTTAACGCCGAAAACGAGTTCAATGCTATTACTCCGTCAGTCTCACCAGGATATCATCAGCAGTATTTGTTAGAAAATGTGCAAGTAACCACGGAAACTCCAACATCTACCAGATATTATCCAAAAACAAAAACCAGAAATGAAGACTACGACGATGTTCTGTCGAGTAAAGATCCAAATCAGAATAGAAACCACATTCCTATACAGACCGGTAAGCCTGTGCCAAGCGTCCACCAAGTGAATAGATACCCAAGCACAACGCCCAACCCAATAAGCAACGGATACTACACGAAACAAGACGAAAGTTACTTCGATGATATAACAAAAAATTCTTTCGATATCTTCGGACAGAAGGTAGAAGACGGCACGCATAATGTCAACGGCTTAGCTGTGACGCCTCCGCTAGAAACTGTGAGAACGCCAGTAAACAACAACATAAACTTACAATACGCTTATGAAATAGTTCCGTCCCCGAGACCGACTAATCCGCCTTCGTTGGACAGAGATACGCTGGTAAATTACCGCCTCCCAAGACCGCAGATCAATCTTAACAGTGAATCTATTCCGGGACATCCAAGTGCGCAATTAGTACACGAACCAAACCCGCCGTCTCTATTAGACGATACGCTAGTAAATGACAGATATCCTCGGCCTACAATTAACCCAGATAGTGAATTCATCCCCATACCGAACCCTAATTACCGGAAAGCGGCTCAATATGGTATTGAGTTGGACGATTTGAATGCAACTCCCCCCACGTTGGAAGGCGATACAGACGTGAATTACAAAAACCCCACGCCCGTGGTCAACCCGGACGCGGAGTGGGTACAGCCGGTGAACACTGGTGGAAGACGACAAGGTGCTTTCGTGTCGTACAGGCTGCCAGGGGAAGGCGCACATGTATATTTCCTGACACCGCAGGCATCACAAGCCGTGCGGGAGAGACACAGATCTGCCGGCTATAGACGGTGAAACCAAAGCTCTAGTCTGAACTCTACGCCGCATAGAAGGCGACGAATTGTGTAAATACAAAGCGCAAATGTGATGTTTAAGTGTCCTAAGTAGTATAAGGTGCGAAAAGACTAGTGGCTTCGGCCGCATTGCCATAATATTTAAAACAAAACGCGAGATTTTAATTGTACGTGATGTACCAGTGAGCGAGCAAGTACTTCCGATATACGCATTGGACGCTAATAACTTTATAACCTATTTATTAAATTATTTTGTTAAGTGACTGTGGTGCAAGCGTAGTGGTAATTAATTTATTTATGTATGTCAGTATTGTGCATGAACTAGGTCTGATGCGATGTGATATGCATGACGGTGTTTGAGAGCATTGTCGTAGATTAAAATGCCTGTATTTTGTTGTTATAATTGTTATGTAAACAAAGATAATGACAAGTAATTGTGATTCTATGTTTGTATTTTCTTATACAAAAAAAGGTAAAATATAATATTAAGAATATATTAAACAGATTATTATGTGCCTCACTTAAAGCCCGACATATTTTATTGTAATAAATAAGCTCCGAACGTGTGTAGTAGCGGTCTTAAAATAGTCACTAACCATACCGTACGGTAGGTGTCGTAAGAGTCGACATCGGGAAACAAACCATAACATTGGCAACACTTTCTAAAAACTACGATTGCCTGTCTGCTTGCCAAGCGTAGTAACTATGGCAAATATGGCAACTATGTCCCTTATGAGGCAATCTATGACCGGAGGCCAATGTTCCTCGATTGTCTTTTGATAAGCTAAAACGATACGTTAAGACATTATAAAATATTGAGACTTAATTTATTTCCTTACCATGGAAGAACTTGACATATTAAACTAAATTAATTATCCAAATAAAACTTTCATTCTTTTATCTTTAATGAATACTGCTTAATAATATATTTTTTATACAAAACAATGCAAAATGTGAAAACATAAGCATAGAATTTGAAAGATTTCAGAAAATTTAAATTTCAAGTCGAATTAGAAGAAAGAAAGAACAAGTTTATTCATTTCATCAATGAATAACCTAGAAAGAAAATAACCTAAAAGAAAAGAATCTACGACGACCGTGAGTCGCAAATCATAGCATTACGCCCTAAAACTAAGGCCGGTATCACAGACAATCACGAGTTCTAACTGAAACTTAACAATATCTAATTTGTACATAATATTATGGTGTAGACTCCAATTTTGACATTGTGAAGTTTGAGCTTAAACTCAAGATAGTGCCTGTACATAAACAGGTATACATATACCAGCTTAATTTATTAATCGGAAGCTGACAACTGAGAACGTGAGTAAGCTAACAGAATACATTCGATTCATCCCTCATGTCGTATTTTAATTGATCGCGTGACATTAAAAATCAATAAATAGGCATAGAGCAAATGGACCGTGCTTTATGGCATTCCTTAAGGAAGAGCTATGTTCAGCAGTGCTCTGGTGATGGAATGTAATGATAATAATGAAAACGAGGTATAGACCGACAGAAAAAAGATAACGATGCTGTTCTAGGAGTCTAGCACTGCCATTACCAATCCACAAGTAAACTTTTTAAACGCCTATTAAACTAATAATTAACGTTAACAAAGTCTAAAATATTTATCGACTACATTCGTGGACCACTTATGACACCAACAAACTGAGAGGTTGGTAATGAAAATATGAGTAGTGTTAAATAGTTTCCAGTGGCATGTATAAAATAAAATAATTCACCCGAAATGGAGATGGAGAGGAGGACATAACACATTTCTATGGAGTGTTAGGTAAGAAGGATAGTCCCACATGAAGCTTTAATTGTAAAAGTTCACTAAAAAGCTGTTTATAAAAAGCTGAATTATATTCATATTTATTCATATTTTTAAAAGTATAATAGTAGAGCATTCATATTTTTAAATTTCGTTTTTACACGTCGTAATAACGAAACTTTGAAAAATATGAATACTACTTTCATTTTGAGAAAGTTAATCACCCATATTTGAAAAAGTTCATTAAAATATATTGAGTAAGATTTAAAAATCTTAATAATCTTTAAGCACAAGTATCATTTTTTATTGTTTACTAGTGTACTTCCCTGGCTTCGTACGCCTGAGTAGGATAAGTACAGACGAACAAAAGAGACCAACAAAAAAAATTTTTAAAAATTGTTAGAAAATGGCTTAATGACATGCAAATAACCCTCCCTCTCAGCTTTTTTCATAGAATTGGGTGACAAACGAGCACACAGTTCACCTGATGGATGGTAAGTAGATGCTGTGGCTTATATACACCTACTAATATCCTCGAATCAGAAAATCTCCAGTATTCTTTGAGAGCGTGTTCCCTCCCCGGACGAGCCGAACTAATCATGCTGCACATGTAGGTTATATACTGCAGATTGGCTCCAGGTACCACAAAAAATATTCACCAAAAGTTTTTGCAATCACAAAATGTATAAACAATATTTAAGTATTGTGGTTCCAAATTAATTTAGTAAGAAATTATTCGTAAATCCACTTTCATTAATCGGTATAAAATAGATCGCAGAATCCTTGAAAACTATAACAACTCATTAATCAATTCTACATTTTAACATAATAATTAAATACACTTAGGATAGTAATAGATGGACATAATGTGCAAGTGAGAAGAAAATTATTTGTGGAAATATAGCAAAATAGAAAAGGATAGCAATTCTCATGACTTTGTAACCGATTTTGAATAACAGGTCTACGTAAGTTGGCACACTTCCGAGTAATTCCATATAAAAATATGCATAGAGAGAATGTACAAGTACAATTCTACATAAATTGTGTCAGTACACCTGTCTCGCTTTATCTTATTTAATTTTTAAAAAAGGCAAAAAGAGAAATATATTGAAAGATGTTGCGTGTCATTCATACGTGGAAATAGAAATGTCAAGTGGTCATCTTTGGTCTCTATATACTATGCCAAATATGAGAATAAGTGTAATCGTATATTCTGATTTACAAGAAAAATGACATCCCCATTGTAGCCGTATTATGTATGACGTTACTTTACAAAACATTACGTCTTTAATCTATAGTGATTTCGTTCGCAATGTTAGCAACAATCGACATTGATATATTCGTTTTTGTTTAATTATTTATTTTTATTACTTTATATGCTTAAAAATATTTATAGTCAACCAAACCTTATCTTTTGACGTTTCACATTAATCATTCTGCAATAACTTTGCACAAGCGTACTCACACGCTTTAAAATAACCATTAACGTAAATCTGAAGAATTATGAAGTTACCTATATTTCATTACAACGTGTATAGTTTTTTATCATTAATTCAAATTCGAATCTTTCAAACAAAGCAAGTTAATAAAAAATAACCAGTATTAACTTTGTTACTTGACTTCGTTTCAATGATATGTCGCTATGTACCTTACCGTAGTGTTTGGATGAATAATCATAAAAAATATTCAAATAATCAGTAAAAATATATAATAATCGAATCATTAATTTTTTAATATATTATTTGTTTAATTAAATTTTTATTTTTAAAATTCCTTAAATTACATCAATCATGAATGAAACAAGTTTTGTTATTTTGTTACTTTGTCAACGTAAATTTGTACAGGCAAAAAACTCATATACAAGTTGATAAACCGCGCCGAAAAAACCACTACGTAATTTCAATCTCGCGCCATTTCGGGAGCTTACTGTGCGTAATTTTGTGTTTGTATTCTTATTTTGTGACTCGGCTTTAACTTTTTGGACTGTATATTGTATGTTGAAGCATGTGCCCATGTCACAAAGGATGATTGGGCAAAAGTGGCAGATTTTTTTAAAATTATGGATGACTTTGAGACATTAACTATGACAGCATTATTGAAAATCAATAATAATTAATCTAAACAATGACAGCTCAACTAGTTGTACTGAAAGTGATTGAATAAATTTATTTTTAATCTAATTTCAATCTTAAATTTTTATAAGTGTGCCTCTAGAAATAAACAGTAGATAACAACAAATACGAAGAAACTGATAAATCTTGTGTTTTAAATTATCCGTTTTTAATTTATCCTGGTATTATTCAAAACAAACTGTAAATGATTACCAACTCTAAATAATCAACATCGAATTTTTTAAGAATCGAATATTGTACGTTTCCATTTTTTGGTTGGCATGCTTGGTGCAATAAGTCTGACAGCTGTCAAAATGTATTTCTTAGATTTGGTTGACTAAAAAATAGGGCTGGACTTATTATTATTCAAACAATCAAGTAAATTGTTTTCTAAAGTGATAATGATTATTATATTTCATTTCAAATATTCGTTTCACAAACTTTTAAAAACTAATAATTAGGGAGGTATCAATACTGTCTTGACAGACACACGTTACATGAGAGAGTTGGATCCCATTTGTAATCCCAATTTTATATGCTGACTAACGATCCGCCTCAGCATTTCATGACTGTTTTCTAGATCTCGACAACAACGCCACTTACCGGGTCCAATTATAAGTGTGAGAGTTCATCGAAATCTGTCTTGCCTTTTTTAAGTGACGAATGATGATCTTTCATACACGCGGTAGTCGGTTTTTATTTATATAGATTTACCACTTGCCTAGCGGAAAATATAAACTAGTCTAGTCTAGAAAAACGTTATGTTGTTAATAATTTGCATGAATTTGTTAATTACATTTTTATACAAAATATTTACGTGTAAGCTAGGGATTGACTCAACTATATCAAAATTAATGTCGATATTTATCTTGAATGTTCATAATGAATCGATAGACTTGCCCACACAACAAGAAGAGAAATGAAAATAAATGCTTGGTTTGCGCGTATGTGTCTAATTGTAATGTAATTTCCGGATGCTATAATTAGAAAAAAATGGTTAAGGTTAATTGCGCCAGTTGGTTGGAAAGAACTTAACAATTTTCAACAAACATCTTCTTGAGAAGTATAAAAAAAACGAAGAATAAAACAATTTTATTAAAAGGAGCCATTTCT